CAAAGAATGGTGACAGTGTTGAATGGCTGTAAACAAATGGTGTAAAAGTTTCCGTGAAGGGCGGTAAACGACATCGGATCTGCCGAGACCGGGCCAAGTAAACAAAGTGATCACCAATGATTCCATTGCCTTCGTTAATGAAATGATCCAAGCTAATCAAAGTGTTACGCCCTGTGAAATCAGTCACGAACTCAACCTGAGTAAAGGAATGATTAACACTATTATCCACAAACATCTGGGTACAGCAAAATGTGTGCAGCATGGATACCAAAACACCTGACCCTTGATCATCAGAAATGACGAATGGGCTTCTGTCTCCAGCACTTGATCCGTTATGAGGAGAATCTCGCATTTATGGAACGTATCGTTGCGGGCGACGAGACCTGGTGCCACCACTATACACCGGAATCCAAGAAAACGAGTATGCAATGGAAACACACCATTCTCCTCCACCACGGAAATCGAAAGCAACGATAACTGCACAGAAAGTGATGCTTTCATTTTTCTTCGATTGTCATGGACCACTTTTAATCGAGTTCCTACCCCAAGGGAGCACTATCAATTCTGCACAATATTGCAGTACTCTGGCGAAACTGCGACAAGCAATAAAAAACAAATGGCCGGGCCTTCTCACACAAGGAGTGATCCTTCTGCATGACAATCCCACACGTCTCTTAGGAAACCCAGAGGACCTTAAACACATTCCGTTCCTGGGAGGTTTTGGAGCACCCCTTGTACAGTCCTGACATGTCACCCTGTGATTTTCATGTCTTTGGGCCACTTAAGAGAGCCTTACAGGGTAAACGTTTCCATTCGGATGATGGAGTGAAAGAAGCCGTGCAGGACTTCCTCAGGAATCAGCCCCAATCTTTCTACAGCAAAGGCATCGAGCTGCTGCCGTAACGCTGGGACCTGTGTTTAAACGCCCATGGCGATTTCTTTTGATTTACAATAAAGGTATTATTTTTCTTCAACTTGTCCACTTTTCATTTGGGCAACCCTATATGATAGTGCTTAAAAAAGTAATTATAAATTTCTGGAATTTTTTTTCCATATTTTCTGTTAAAAGTAATGTGGACAGTGTTCATACGGTCCTTAAGAATCTTTAAAACTCCTTAAGTTTTTTAAATCAATTTTTGGTCTTTAAAAGTCCTTAATTTCGGCTGAAATCTTTAGAAGGTCCTTAAGTTTAATCTTCTGAAATTTCTGTCTTGTTTTTACAACTTCTATTTGAGTGTGAATTATCATTTTGGAAGAATATTTTTGGCGATTCGCTGACAAATACGATTATCTTTTGAATGGGTCCATGGGTTATAATTTGTTCCTATTTCTAATATAAAGGCTGGGATATTGAAGTTTCTGAGCAAGGTGTGAAACATAAGAATTTCAAAATTATTTCATTTTTTTTTTTTCTGATGAAGAGCTCTTAAAACAGCCAAGTTGAGTGCCAGTCACCGGTGACCCCCCACGGCAGTCATCATGTGAAGGTGATTTGATAGTCTCAACAATAGACATATTAGAAATAGATTTATCAACAGTATAAATCCATAATTGAAGAGCAAATGAAGGAGAATATTATAGTTGAAAAGTGTTTTCAGAAAATAACGAAGGCATCGTATTTTATGTGGCACAGAAATAATAAAATTTCATGAAACTACAAATTCTAGGATTGTTTACGATGCGATCTCTTCTATATGTAAAATCCTTAAATGATTTTCTAGACATTGGGCCTAGTTTGATTACAGTCGTTTTGGCCATAATTTTAAAATTTTGTAAATATGAAATTGCCTTCCGTGGAGATATAGCTAAGGTCTTTTTAATGTTGGGGATGTTAGAAAAGGATAGGGATTATTTAAAATTTCCCTTGTTTTGTGGATAGTGAGGATATAAAGTTTTAAGGTTTAAACGTTATCCATTTGGACTCTGCTGTAGTTCAGAAATTTTACCGATGGCACTGAAATTCCGCAGTAAAAAATATAAAAGCACAAATTCGGAAAGTTATGAAATGTTAAGATTCCTCGTTGTATGTAGACGATTTATACTACGTTGCTGACACTATTGAAGATGCATGTTGATTATCCTCAGATGTGGTAAAGATTTTTAAAGATACTGAGATGGATCTGAGAAAATTAAGGTCAAATTCTGAGGAACTTAATTCCTGGTGGATTGAAAGGCGTTATAATGTAGAATTAGCTTAAAGAGTCAAAAATTTTGGGCATGATCTGGCTCCCCGAAGCAGACAAGATCAAGCTGAATTGCAGATTTTTAGGAAATTTATTCCATGACAGTGCTGAGGTCACAAAAAGGGTTATTCTTCAAACTGTGGCCAGAGTTTACAATGCGATTGGTGTGTTTCAACCCTTTTTCACGAAAATGAAAATCTTATAACGAAAAATTTGGACATTAGGTGTGGACTGGGATGATCCCTTACTTTAGAAATAAGTAAAGACTGGAGTCACTGGCAAGCTGAATTAAAAGTGGCCGAGGATTTTTCTCTTCCAAGAAAATATTTTTGTAGTTCTGAAAAATCTGATCTTAGTTTCTATGTATTCACCAACGCTAGCCCTAAAGCATACGGCACAGTAACATATTTTAGATACCTTCATTTAAAAATTAACTTTTGCACCAGTTTCATTGCAGCAAAGGGTGGCGTAGCTCCACTCAAGACTAAGACTTCCTCATTTGGAGTTGATGGCATCTTTAGTAGCTGCCAAATTGTCTATGTATCTGATAAAGCAGTTTCCTAAACTGTGTCATCAAAATGTTGTGATCGATTTAGCAATACTGATTTATTATGTATTTGTTTTGTGTGAGCTTGAGAGTTTGCTGGTGGGGAATGTTGAAAAGAGAGAATGTAGAGGGCGCTACCTGGCAGCAGAACGCATGTAATGTAGAAAGAAAAAAAGGAAACCACGTATTGGTTCATTAAGCAGTATAATTTTTCTGAAGGTTGATTAACTTAATATTAGGACAAATGTGAATATGTACACTGTGAAAAAAGGGAGGGGGGAGAAATTGGGGCGGGGAAAGTTCTGTATCTCCTGTTCTACTGGGCCCATTGAAGAAATTCAAATTGGGTTTTTCATGTCTCAAAAGCGCGACTTAGGATATGTATTAGATTTATATACAGTACAAAGTCCGTAATCCGGACGCGTCAGGACTTCGGCGATTCCGGATTAGGGGCTTTTCCAGATTATAGATCATCGATTTAAATTTGGTAAGATGGCATGCAGAAATTATACAATTAAAAATATGAAACTGTAATTTATGAAATAATGAGCAATTATGATCTAAAGGGTATCAAAATTTACAAAAAAAAAAGCTTAATATTTGTTTGTTTACTTGAGTAAACATTTCTTTCAATGTAAGTTGTTTAAGTTGCTTCGTTTTTTGTGCTAATACTTCTCTTTAATTCTATAAACAGACATTATTTCTTGTTCAGTTACAAAGTTCCACTGTTCAAGTCCTGTAATTGCTGTGTCGAGAATACCAACTAACTTGTCAATCAAAATTTTTTCATTTTCAATAACATTCTCTGTTACTTTCTTCACTATCGGAAGCACGCATGGGTAAACGCTTTACTGGCTTTACGCGCATGCGTAGCGGACATGCGCATCAAACACGCATACGTTAATTTGTGGCTCTGTCCGGATTATAGATCATTCCGGATAATGGACGTCCGGATTACAGACTTTGTACTGTATAACATTGTTCAAATATAGATATTTTGACACAAAATCGGACTTTTTAGCAGATGACGTGGCAATTGTTTTCCATATTTCGATTCTACGACTAAAATTATGCCTAACTCCCAAGTTTTGTAAAAATCTCACAAGGAGTTTTTAAACAATTAGCTCTCAAAGTTTTAGCTCCTGAATGTTAATTCACTTTGGTATGTATTTGCTAATATTTCCTTTTTTTATGAATCTTATTTGATTCCTTCCTACAGAGTCCAAAATTTAGGTTCATTCCAAATAAAAGTCACCCATGTTTTATGATTTATTTTTTGAATTTGTATTTTTAAATAATTTGTAAAAGTTTTTCGAAAAATTTTTTAAAATTATAACCTATAATTTTTGCCATCATCTTAAAGTAGATGTATTTCCAAGCATACCTGCAAAAAATTAGAGCTTTTTATTCAAAATTTTCAAAGATATACGTGAGTTTATATATTGGTGTATTTTGAAATTTGGCCTATTTGTTGAAAGCGATAATAACGAAAATGTGGTTTACGCACTTTGTTAAAATTTGAGGTTCTTCAGTTTTGAGTTTCTTTCTGTTTCTTAACAGGTTCTTTCAGAATTGAAGTTGATTCATCATTAATTTCATTATTTTCTTTTAGTTGATTGCTACTATAATCATTGCTTTCTTTTGGTGTAGTAGTTCCAGATTTCAACTAGCAATCCATAACCTAAGTTAGGGATAAAAATTATGTTTTATAAAAATAATCAAAATCAGTGGGATTTACTAAGGCATATAATAAACATTTCCTATAAGAATAATTCCACAAAAGCTAAAAATATACAGGCACCAGGAAAAGCCACTAACTATTAATGAAGTACGTTTTCTCTGTAACGAAGTGTGGTATACTCACACTGTGTCACACTGTATCATCTCACACAAGACTGTCTTGACTTATGAGAATGTAGAATAAGGCGCAGCTAAGCCTTATACTTAAGCCTAAGTTTGGTGGGGATATACATGGTGCAGTGCATATCCCCACCAAACTCCGGTGCAACGCGTACCCCTGAAGGTACGCATACCACATTTTGGGAAAAACTGCATTAAGGCAATATACATATATGTCAAGCTATTCATATATACATATTAGCATGGATAATTCATATGCATTTTAAATTAAACTTTGAAAAATATATTATGAGTGATGACATAATGTATTCGGTTTAAATGTCTTTACTTTTTTAAACAATCCAGAACTTTTGAGAATTTGGAAAATGAATTTTTGATTTTGTTATAATGCATTTTCATTTGTATTTCAGCCACATGTTTTGAAGAGCTATCATTTGATCCATATTTTTACGAGACAGCTAAAGCTCATCTGAAAGTAGTTGCTGAATATTTCAAAAATCATGGTTATGATAATCATGATAATATTGGGTAATGTAGTGATAAATTTTCTTCTAATTTATTTCATGTCATGTATAAGACTTTTAACTTGCATCTTTGACGGGAATTCCATTATTAATAACAATATCTATATTAAGGTACTTATGTTTTACCTAGGTACAAAATGGTTTCATGATGCTCAGAAGTAGGAATGTGATAAATTATTAAATAGTGATATAATTTTGTTAAAGTAACAGAGTGATTTTGTAAGAACTAATGCTTATTTAAAATTTAATAAATTAAATCAGGGAATTTTGGCTTTGCACAATTAATTCAGAAACAATCAGCTATTAATTTGAAAGATTTAGATTTACTTGAAAACACAATTTAATGAAGAAAATGCATGAACTGATAAAACATTCAATGATAACCATAATAAAGCAAGAAATAAAGGGCAGCACAATATCACATGGGAGAGATCAAATTGAAGAGCTAGTTCATATTAGATTGTTTGAAACTAAAACTTTTACTTTAATGATGGAGTTTTTTATAAGCTTTAATGATGGAGTTTCTCTTTATAAGCTGACTTTTTATAAGCTCTTTCCTCCTTTCCCCTCTTTGAAATCTCTTTTCCTATTTCCTTTCTCTAATGAAAGCTTTTCCCCTGATTGATGTGACATTTTCCCCTGATTGACATCTATCAAATGCTAGGGAATGTTATATTGCTTTCCATCTCAAGTATCAGTGGTATCAAGTATCATGATGACAATACTTTGGATTAAATGTCACTTTTCATATAAATGAAGTTGTTTGCATCAGGAATATCAGCAAATGAGGCATTTATTTTTCTAGAATTGAGTAAAAAATGTATTATTGGTGTATGTGTACTACAGTATGAAGACCAAGGTCTAGAATCATTAGAACTTTAGCGATTATGAAGATTAAAGGTATGAAACAGTTGTTTGTGAATTAAGTTTATGACCGTAGGGAAATTAAAATTCACAAAAAAGATCAATATTTGTTTGTTTTATTAAACATTTCTTTCAATATAAGTTGCTTAAACTATTTCTTTTCTTCTTTTTTTGCAGTAATACTTCTCTTCAGTTTTATGGATAGGCATAATTTCCTGTTCAAAGTTTTGCTGTTCGAATCCTATAACTGCCGTGTTGAGAGTTCATCAAACTGGCAACTGAAATCTTTTAATTCTTAACAACCTTGTAACTTTCTTCACTATTGGTACTGATATTTTTTTATTTAAAGCCATACTATGAATTTTACTGTCTGTCAGAGACTAATGGTTGGAGATTGTTTTCGTAATCGAAAATTTCTGTTGTATCATAAGTTATTATTTCTCCTCCATATTTCTTCTTAAATTTCATAAAGTGAAAAATTTTGCCTTTTGCTTGTGATATTTGAAAAACCTTCTGGTTCTCGTAGCTGTCACCCTTACCTTGAAATATGGCATCAGGTCATATAATATGGCCAGTATTTTTTTTAAAGTATTAGGAGGAATGTCCTTCTATAACTTTTCAATGATCCATGTACCAGATTTTATGTTTAAATTTTGTAGTGAAAATTGTTCCTGTCGACAGAACACATCATGGTTCTGTGGGTAAGATATCATATTCCTACACTGAAGGTTCCAATTTTGAAATCTATCAAAAGCCACTCACCTAAAGATTGGTTTTGTTTAAATTTCCTCCGTGTTAATTTATGTCCTATATGTTCCATTTAGTGGAGAATGTTCTTCATTTTCTAGTTTAAAATGTTCCAGCTCATTCATAAAGTCTGTGTTAAGTGGTTACTTATTCAGTTTGAATAAAAAAAGTCTGGAATTGAGACCTTGAGTATTCTCCTCTTCATTTGTAGGATCACTTCATCTGAAAAAGGGGTACTTTACATCTGCATTTCAGCACACGGAGCACTTCAATACCTATTGGCTAAATGATGGGTGTGCAACTTGGAGAAAAGAACAAAACAGAGATGTTATTACTAAAATTTTCTGTGAATTATGAGCCAAGCAGTTGTCTATAAGCGGGGCAATTTTTGCATCATCCGGTAAAATATTGCCAAACTTCAAATATGAAATGATTTTTAAACCAAACATTTATTAATGTTTGTGTTATGTATGCTCTTTATTTGAATGATAGATAAGAAGGAAAATGTGTATTCTTTTAAATGCTTGAGGGTGTGAATATTTTCTGATTTAAAAGTTTTCGTTTGCCCTTTGCCGCGGCATTTACACATGCCAAAATCATTAGTTTCACTTTGAAATCTTTGATACCATATGGGGCCATTTTTGCAGAGGTTGTCAAGATATTTTAGGCCACATGTTGCCATAAAAGACACTTTTGTCTAGATAATAAATTTTTCTCTGTAGGTAACGTTTCACCCTAAATTATGATGTTCAGTGAATTCATCTGCAGATTGTTCAAGTGATTAAGTATCAGCTAATGCTTTTCCTTCCGAAATTTTGTAACTGTTTTATGCCATGGCAGTTTTAAAATTTGGTAACCAACCTGTCAGATATGTTCACTCAGTTTTTTTAACCCTGTCGAGATGATGCACCTTTATTTTAAAACATTCTCTTGGGATAGATGGGAAACAAAATGAATCATTCCGTTTGTGTTCCCTATCATAACTTTAGAAAAAAAAAGTTTTATGTCCTAATGTCATAATATTTGATACCATTTTAGATTATTACTTAAGCTATCATGTATAGCGAATTAGCATTTAATTATATTTTCCCTTTACTTTACATGAAAATCTGTGCTATTAAAATCTTTGTGCTGTTTCTTTGTGGCATTATCTCCTCCATAATGGCAGGGAGGTGAATTTCGAGAGAGGTACCCCCCAGATTCGAAAAATTCGTAAGAAGCTATTTCGATCATTCTCATCTTCGTTCAACTTTAATCAGCCGAGATATTAATTAAAAACTCCGAAAATGTCATTTTTCTTACTCATCTCCTAATATTAGAAAACTCCGATATTTGTACTCCTGATAGTATGAAACTAATATGAATGAGACTAGTCTTTTATTGTTCTATAGTGCAATGAATATTAATTTTAGGTTATGCTAGTTCTTAAAATGTTTCCATTTTATTTTGTTTCTTAAAATTGTCAGATTTGTGTGTATTTTTACAGATTTTTTTCCTAAGCTATTTTATTTTTTTTTTAGACACAAAGATTTAAACTTCATTGTAGCAAAATTTTTTTTCCTTAAACACTCAATGTTCCCAAGAAACGAAAAGTTTCTACTTGAAGAAGGTAAGCCTTCTCTGTTTATACGTGCAGTTTAATCGTAATGTTTTTATTTGTATTAAAAGTCTCTGAATGGCATAACATATTTTTTTTATCGGGTCATGATATTTGCATTGTTTGGTAAATATTATCTTTTTATTTAAAGTATTTGTTTTGTGAACTAAATCAGGTTTTTGAACTGTAATCTAGAGATCCATTGCGATCTTTGAATGATTTTTGAAGCTAAAATTTGATTTATTTAACTTCATTATGAAAAAATAGGTACTATTTCGTTTTAAGGGCCATAAAAAATTATGTGCAAAAGCGGCAAATCTAACAAAGGCGCCCATTTCACAGCGCGCCAAATCTCGCGTACGTGCTTATTCAAATTGCATAAGTTTAGATAGTTCTATATTTGAGACGCCATTGAAATACTAGTTTAATTTTAAAATCCTTTTTTAATTTTAAATCCTTTTTTGATATCCTGTGGATTTAACAATTTGGGAATTAACCATGACAATAGAATTTTGGGGAAAGTGCAGAATCACCCACTGCTTGACATGTTTTTAAGAACTGCACATACTCAGTATCCATGTACACATTGACCTATTTTCACTTAAAAAACAAAATCCCAGAATTGCACAAAAATGGCACTGCGCACACCCTTGACTTTATCTATGTAGACATCGACCTATTTTCACTTAAAAAGTAAAAGAAAATTGACAAAAATCCAATTGTTTTTACCATTGTAAAAAGCGGCAAACAAATAAGTGGGCAATTCTGCACTTTACCGAGAACTTTTTCAATTCATTATAGAAAATTATGTTTGAACAACCAACAAGATGAAATTATGCTTTAGCGATAACTCGGTAGTGAAATAGCGATGCTGGAATCCATTCAGTTATGTTTAGCTTTTATTTATATAAATTATAATAATGATCTGAAATAGTTATTTACTCTTATGCTTCCATTCAGTTATGTTTAGCCTTTTTTATATAAATTATAATAATAGAAAAGTATTATAGGAAATTAACCTTTCATCTAAATTAAAACAATAATCTTAGATAGTTATTTACTATTATACTTCCTTTCTTGCATTATGGTTGCCGCAGTTATTTTTGGTAGCACTGGCATCAACAATAGTTGGCAATTTTTTTTTTACGGTCCTCAAAACGGAATAGTACTGAAAAATATAATAAAAATATTAAACAAGTTGATATTTAAGTATCATGACAATATACAGATTATATGAAAAGAAGTCATCAAACTCGTAATGAAACACTGATCTGAATATTAATGATAATAAATAGAAGGTTTTGGAAACCAGGGCTATGGAGTTGGTAGGGAAAATGACAGACTCTGACTCCTGGAATTTTAAAGACTCCGACTCCCTCATATATATGTAAACATATACACATGGGTTACAGCTTGACATTCTCCTCCTCAAGAACATAAATATAAGAACAACTCCTCCTCAAGGACATAAATCAAGCGCCCTACCTGCAAGTGATTTTTATCTCATTTATTCAAGAAAATTTCATCATTTAATTAGGATATTTTTATTTTACTGAAAGAACTGTTGTTTCTTGTATTTCAAGAACAGTATCTACTCAAGACTTCAAATGTACAAGAAACTTAACAATGGGACACGTGACTCCAAACAAGCTTCACGATTCGTCCATCTCTTCACATTACATTTTGATTTTTCGTAAATTAAATTTTACATTTTTAGATTAATCATTGTTTTTCTATCATTCGTGTGTATCATATTTATCATATTCTTGTAAAAATTTCATTGTAAATGTACTTTTTCACTTGAAAAGAACACTTTTAATGTGATGCATTCACGTCATTGGCTACTGGCAGCCTCCAGATATTTGCTAAGCTCCACCTGGATGCCATTACTTAACCACCTTGCACAGAAAGCAGTCTATCTAGTTTAAAATCTCTACTCATAAAATCTTAAAAGCGTGCTTAATAGCATTTAATTCATAAATAATCTACTGCGATCCACTAATTTGAGTAATCCGACTACTGATGCTCAGAACTTGCTCTGAACCTTGACTTTTGGCCTAAGGGTGGGATGTTTTCACCCATTTACTCGACAACTGTAAAAGCCTTAGGGCTCACCTAAAATTTACTGGAAGTTCTAAACAAGGTGCCTTGCAAGCGCAATCATATTTCTTTATTTTTTTAAATGCTATGTGAAATCTTATTTGTATTTTTTTATTTTTACATCTAAAGGCTCTTAGTTCTTTATTGTTACAGAACTGGTATTTTAATAGCTAATGTTAGTTAAATTATAAATTAAATTGTTTTATTCCGTGTGCAGTCCAGCGTGTGATGAATATTAAAGGAAAGCTAAGCCCCTGAAAATTAAAAATACAAGAGCGCGTGCATTTAACATTTAATAAATAAATATCTCTTTTTGATTTTGAGAAAGTGCTAGAAAATTCTCGTGCATTTAAAAAGCTTATATTAAGCGGCATGAAAACCTCTCAGTTCATTGTTAATAGTAGTTTGCTGTTGTTTTAAGAGTTTGCTTAGAAAACTGCTCTTGTTGACCGTAGCGAATTCACGGATTAGCTTTCTTTAGCTGTTTTGAATTAAGTTCTCTTGAATGTTTGAGTAGTTAAAAGATAACTACTGTGAGATATTGTAATACTGCAAATATCTGAGGAAATTTAAGCATTTTTGTTGTGATAATAATAAATTTTGTTCATTTTTCATTGGACTTGTGCATTCATTTCATAACGAACCCGTACGCACGCAACATTATTTTCATTCACTTTGCCTTAGCCTTTTCATTATTATCCAAAAAATATTTCTCAAAATCTAGTTCATTACTGAAAGAGGATGGTAGAGACTCGATTGCAATGTCTGCAGTTTGACTGTCCTTTGAATTCTCCAATTGTTCTGAGAATAATTTTATTAATGAAAGTTCATAGATGGCTTTCTTTGTCTTTTTAATTTGTTCGTCATTCAAGAAAGTTCAGTGTTTTGGATCTACATATATTGAACCCAGCAAGATCTCATTGTCTAGCAAACTAGTTTCTCTTTTCTTCATTGAAGAAATGATTCCTTCTGCAATAAACCCTCCATTTCAGAAAGGACAAACATCCCACTCTTCTATTCTCACCTCCTGTCAGTTCTTCAGATTGCTGCTTTTTTGTGGCTGTATACAGTGTAGAAAGAAGAGTTTCCAATTCTGCGAGATCACTCCACAGTCTTTCTGTTAGTGATACATTAGGGTTATCTACATCTTCTAAAAAAGTTCTTAATTCTAACAACCTCTTTATCATCAAATATGTACTTCTTTATCGCATTGCTTGATCAATAATTGCTCCTTTTCCTGCTCGCTTCCTAAGAATGGCATCAGTTTTGGGAGTTCTTGCTGTTATTGCTGCTTACCTAAATTTGCCACTGAAATTTGTAACTAAATTTAATCATTAATGGCAAATATCACATTTATCCTCCTCCATTATGTTTATTTATTAATATGTCAATAAAATAGAAGATAACTGCTTATTAACGTATATAATCCATAAATAAAAATAATAAGTCAGCTTTGTCATTAATTTTTTCTTCAATTCATTTTAATTTCATTTCAAATTCAAAAACTAACCAACAAAAACTGGAGTCTGAGTCGACCTGTTTGTAGCGACTCCAGCTCAGACTTCTTTTACCCCAAAATCCGCCTGATTCCGACTCCAACTCTACAGCCCTGATGGAAACAAAGTAAACTATGCATATCTAACTGATAAATGTTATTTAAAGGCAGCTGCTTACAAATGGATCCTGGAAATTTATGTTAATGTTTTCAACTGGAAGTAGATGGAGAACTTGATTAGAATAGCTTAAATGTAGCTAACGTGTATTTCAAAACATACACTATCTTGCCTACTAGCTGAGAACCTAATAACATGTTTAACCATCAAAGTATATACAGTAGGCATTACTGATGGGCAAAACCAGTCCTTTAAGGGATAAGATCGGAACCATTCGCTCACTGAACTGAATCTTTTTTTTTTTTTTTTTTTTAACGATTTACTGATCACTAATAATGACCCTGATTAATGCACTCGGAACAGGCATGGATCTAGAGTGGTATGCAAAGATGGGAGGGAAGCAGAAAGAATGAAACAAGGAGTGGGATCGGTGGAATAAACTCTATCAAATTGCTCACTCCCTGGACCGATTTCGACTGTGCTTTTGAGATTCCTTAAAAAGGACCTTTCCACACAGAACTAACATAAAATTCTGGAATAAAAAATTGCTCAAAAAGTTAAAAAATAATGAAAACTAAACCCACTTTTGTTAAAGACTACATTATTTTATTTATTGCTGTAATTGGTATTATTTTGCTATTGTGAAGCACAGTGTAAAGAAAATATCAGATTGGAGGCAGATTTCAAGTAATAGGAAATTGTCTGCTGACAATACCAACATTTTCCTTTTTTTAAAATCTAATTTGACAAAATAATGCCAAATATCGCTCGAGGTACTTCTATGCGGCAGGGTGAATTTTTTGTTCTGCAATCTTAAAAAAAAAAATACATTAGATGGAAAAATGTATGTTGTTAAATATGTACTAATTCTGATTTGGATTTAAGGCAAATATGTGGAAAATAACCCATTTTTTAAGCCAAAATATCCCTTCATTTGCTTTGGAGCCTTTTCTCTCTCTTCCCTCCCGCCTGCTTAGTCAATTGTGTCTTGGAATCTAACAAAAGAAGACACCTGGATCTGATGGATGAAGTCAACTTATTAAATTGCTTTGACCAACTCTCATAATTAAGTGAGGGGGAATACTGCTATTTAGTTAAATACTTCTTAACCCATCTTATTCAAGATTGTGAAGAATTGCACAGATATTTGGAAATCAAAGCAAAGTCAAAATGTAAACTGTAAAAGAATGCACAGTGGGATTGATGATAGTTTTGTAAAAGCATTTCAAGATGTCGATTACGAATGCTCATGTATCAGTCAATGGCCCATTGATCAGAAGAAAGTTGAAGACTTAGCTG